AGGCCATATTTAGGTACTCCAGTCAACTACCTAGGGTTATTAGGTAGTTGTGTCAACTGTAAGCCACGTAAGTGAACCATCTGAAGTTCAGTCCATTTTAGCCTTCAGATGACTCCAGCCCCATGCATGGAAGCCTTTTTTTTTTTTTTTGAGATGGAGTTTCACTCTTGTTACCCCGGCTGGAGTGCAATGGCGTGATCTCGGCTCACCACAACCTCCGCCTCCTGGGTTCAAGCAATTCTCCTGCCTCAGCCTCCCGAGTAGGTGGGATCACAGGTGCATGCCACCATGCCCAGCTAATTTTTGTATTTTTAGTAGAGATGGGGTTTCACCATGTTGACTAGGATGGTCTTGATCTCTTGACCTCATGATCCACCCACCTAAGCCTCCCAAAGTGCTGGGATTATAGGTGTGAGCCACCGTGTCTGGCCTCATGGAAGCCATTTAACTGAACTCCATGAGAGGCATTGAGTAAGAGCCACCTACAGGAATCTGATCAACCCATAGAACTAACTGTGAGATAATTTCGACTTGTTTTAAACTGCTACATTGGGAGTGATTTGGGTTGTAATACAGCAATAGACTAGTGGCAAAATAGTGACAAATCCATCACAGGACGTGCTCCTATGAACATGGGTATCAAAGACATTTCAAGTGAGGTGAAATCAGTGGTAGTTTACATGACATAGACAGATGTCATGGTAATCCTTATTCTACTTTTTTAGCTGGTCCCTAGAAGTTAATAATTGGATTATTGTTCTATTATCATTTGGATTTTTAAATACAAATATTTACCCTACAAATGCAGTTTTTTTGGGAGAGGTAATGCTCTACACCAGAGTACATCAAATGCCTTTTTTTTTTTTTAGATGAAGTCTTGGTCTGTTGCCCAGGCTAGATTGCAGTGGCGCGATCTCGGCTCACTGCAACCTCCGCCTCCCTGGTTCAAGCGATTCTCCTGCCTCAGCCTCCTGAGTAGCTGGGATTACAGGCGTGCAAGACCACACCCAGCTAATTTTTATATTTTTAGTAGAGTTGGGGTTTCACCATGTTGGTCAGGCTGGTCTCAAACTCCTGGAACTTGTGATCTGCCTGCCTCTGCCTCCTAAAGTGCTGGGATTACAGGCGTGAGCCCCCATGCCCAGCCAGCAAATGTTTTCTGATGGTGCTAGATAGTAAATATTTTAGACTTTGTGAGCTATTACAGTTTTTGTGGCAACTACTTAACTCAGCCAAGCTGATCTAGATAATATGTAAATAAATGGCATGGCTGCGTGAAATAAACTTTATTGACAAAGATAGATAACACGATATATTTGACCTGCAGACTAGTTTGTTGACCCCTGTTCTTTTTTTTTTTTTTTTCTTTAAGATGGGGTTTCTCCATGATGGCCAGGCTGGTCTTGAATTCCTGACCTCAGGTGATCCACCCACCTCGACCTCCCAAAGTGCTAGGATTACAGGCGTGAGCCACCGCGCCCGGCGACCCCTGTTCTAAACAACTATTTCTATAGCCAACAGAGACATGTGATGATATGTCTTGATTATCATCAAGATCGCGTTTGGCTGCTGTATCTCTGATTCCTCTTGCCAGTCCTTCCTAGTGTCTGTCACAGGCGTCTCCTGCTAAGTTTGAAATGTGCTCCTCAAGTCCTTCTTCTCTCCTTACTCTATTATACTCTTTCTGAGCCATGATTTCAGCTAATGACAATTTGCCAGTGACTAAGAGATATCTATCTTTATCTAGCCTTTTATCCAGAACCCCAGGCTTTTGTATTTCCTGTTGGTTGTCTTGCCAGCACCCTATGTTCCATGTACTTTTGTGCTAGCTGTTAACCTATAGTCTTGCAGCCCCAAATCCAAATAAAATATAATCACTGTATGATAACTATGGCTGGGACTCTGCAGTTCCGTTTCTTTTTTTGACAGCTGTAGATTCTGTCAGTAGACGGCATTAGAGGAGAAAGAAGGAACTTGCGTCTTCTTTGCTTCTTTGTTATTTCTGTCCCCTTTCGGGTTCCTGGGAGTACCTCTTCAACAAAACTTCAATCAGAAACATACTTTCTTTTCTGTAGTAGCAGTCAAATCTAGCTTTTCCAAAAGTTACAAACCACAGCCATTACTACCCACCTCCCCCATCACTTCCCTCTGCGCCAGTGGGTTAGTGGCCCCTCCTTGGAGGTTTGGGTCCCAGCCCTTCAGGAATCCAAGCTTAGGGACACTGAGGGACACTGATCAGCTGAGCAGCACCTTCTAGTCGGCGGTCTGAGCTTTGGCTTGGTAAGGTCCCTGCTCCCAGTCCTGAGTTTTAGCCATTTCAATTTCTCTGATTCCCCAGCCCTAAGACATGGTAGTTGCTTTCTTTAATGGCTTTCTTTGTGATAACTTATTTTTCCCTTTTGCGTCTTCAGTTACCTAATTAATAACTCCATAAGTTAATTAATCATTCTTTATATTAAATTTCCATTCCTATATCTGGCACGGTTTCTTTCTCCCAGCTGAACCCTAAAGGAGTTTATATTCTTGGCCAAAAGCGGCTCCTACTACAGTGTCTTCTTCCTTAGTAAATGGCACCAGCAAACCTTTCCCTATTCCCTTCCCAACGGCTCAAGCAAGTATCTGGGCATCATTCTTAACCTTTTCTGTTCTCACACCTCCCAGATCCCACCAGTTGAACAAGGCCCATGGATGTGACTTCCTGAATGTTTCTTCGATCCGTCTGCTTCTCTTCTTTTCTGTGTCTACAACCCTAAACCAAGCACCAGCATGCCTCACCCGGATGATGATCTCTGCTTTATAACTGACTTCCCCACATTCCTGTAGCCCCTCAGTCTGTTCTCCCCACCACAGTCCTAAAGAGGTCTTAAAAACATTTTCTACTTAAATATACTCTAAAACATTCCAAACTTAATGTATAAGTCCTTCTGCAATTTCTCCTGCTTCTGCAGTTCATTTTGAAATATCTTCTTTATTTTTTGGTTCGTTTTTGAATGTGCCATGCTTTTTTTTTTTTTTTTTTTTTTTTTAGATAATCATGTAGTTTTTATTATTTGACTTCGTAATAAAATCAGGTTATTTTTATTTGACTTTTATTATTTGACCCTTATTTAACTGGATTTACAATAATCAAAAAATTTCTACAATTCATGAATTACTTCTCCTTAGCTCAGTTTCTCCGTATATATTCTGTTATGTTTGACTGTTGTTTTATTTTTTAATTTATGTTTTGCAAATATATTCATAAAAATAATTGGGCCAGGCGCCATGGCTCATGCCTGTAATCCCAGCATTTTGGAAGGCTGAGGCAGGCAGATCACTGAGGTCAGGAGTTTAAGAGCAGCCTGACCAATGCGGTGAAACCCTGTCTCTACCAAAAAATATGATATAGCCAGGTGGCCATGCTTTTTTAAAAAACACCTTTGGTACAAAGTGATCCCTCTGTTTAGAAATATCATCCCCTTTTTACCTGGAAAACCACTACACATTCTTTAAATGTTGTATAAATATAATTTTCTTAGCGACAGTGTTTCTGACCTCCCAGACAAGGCTATTCTACCATTTGTTTCCATAGATCATTGAACATCCCCTTTATTCCAGAATATTCAGTTAGCCCCTAAGTAGCTGTCTAGATCATAAGGACCATACAGGCAGACCAGTCTTGCCCAGCACACTATTCCCAATATCTAACTTTTTTTCTGGCATGGTAGATACGTATTCAACACATATTTGCTGACAGTCAGTTTCTGCTTTTTTGTACATACAGAGGACTCTTGAGCAACACGGATTTGAACTGTGTAGGTCCATTTATAGACACATTTTCTTCTGTCTTTGCCAGCCCTGAGACAGCAAGACCAATCACCTCCTCAGCCTATCCAACATAAAGACAAGGGTGAAGACCTTCGCTTCCACTGAATGAAGAGTAAATACATTTTCTCTTCATTATGATTGTCTTAATAACACTTTCTTTTTTCTCTAGCTTACGTTATTGTAAGAATACAGTACATAATACGTATATATAATACAATATGTGTGAATCAACTCTTTTTTTGTCTCAATAACATTTCTCAACAACTGAACAGTGTGAATCAACTCTTTATGTTACCATAAAGCGTTCAGTCAATAGTAGCCTCTTGGTAGTTAAATTTTTAGGGAGCCAAAAGCCAAATGTAGAATTTTGACTGTGTTCCTAACCACCACGTTGTTCAAGGACCAGCGTATATCACAGGGCCTCTGAGTTGACTACGAAAGACACGTGCTTCCTCAGCTGCTCCAGTATCCCTTAGGATTGGCTTTTAAACAGAAGGTTCTTTTGTTTGTTCCACATCTCCTGATGCCAGTATCCCCTGGTGGGTTCTTACGATGATTGGATGAGTTGATTGATCAGAACTTACTACTTGGAGCTTGACTGGAGACCCAACATTACTAACTTCTACATTTTCAGAGGGTCCTATCACATCACACAAGTTTCCTGAGTACGACTTGGGTCCAGGTGCATCGTGGTACTTGGTGCATTTAAACCCCAGTAGCCAATGGCGGATGTTCCTCTATTTCTAACAACCAGTATGTTACTCCTTTACTAAAAATATCAATATGCTAGTTTCTTTGTAGTTTCCTGAAATGCGGTCATTATTCCTCAAGTGAAAAAAGTAGAAATACAGCCGGGGAGTGGACTAAAACACCGATGAAAGGGCTTTACAAAATTACAAAACCGAGAATGGAGTCGCAGATCATGAAAATAGAATATGAAAATGAGCATGATAATGAAGAAAAATCATGAAAGCATATGAACACAGTCTGTTGGAAAAGTAGCAGATTAAATAAATCCATATTTGATTTTGGTCACACTTCCAGGGAGAGAGCTGCATTTATTTTAAAAAGAAAAACAAACAAAAAACAACCCAAAGAACTTTGATTTCTTTTTATCCTCCAAACGGATTTGACCCAAGATGGACAGTTTCCTTGAGAATAATAGATCTTTTTCCTACAGCTCAAAGTTTTACCTTTTGGATTGTATTCCACGCACGTTCTTTACCGTTTCTTCTTCCTTCAAGGGTGTCCATAGCATCTGCCATTAGCGACTGCAGCTGTGGCACCAAGATAAAAATTATCAGTGTGGAATTCACACAGAAATAACTTCTCTAAATACACAGATTAAAACCTAATTAAAAAATCATTTGTACGCTGATGATTTTATTACTCATCTTTCCTACAATGAATATTGCCACCTCATCTTTGCTTGTCATTGCTGAATATTATTGCAGATATAAAATACTGAAACAATGAAAAGCTTCTTCTTGAAAATTTGTAGAAAACATATAGGTTTTAATGTAGTAAGTGTTGATGTTTTGTGAAAAACAGATTTGGGTTGTAAAGAATGAAGGCAGTAGGTAATTCTCTCAGGAAATGGCATGTAGTACATGAATGCGTTTTAGCGTTTTCTCCTGAGGCTAATGTATCATAATTCCAGGCATCATGCAAAAGCTCACCAGAGGACAATACTATAATTGTGCCGTTTTATTGCCTCCTAAAGAATCTAACTCATTTAACTTCTTTTACTATTCTTTTCTTTGTTAAAATTTTGAAATAGCCGAGTTTTAAAAAATGTTTTATTTTTAGGTCCCATTCAAAGGCAAGCTTTAAACATTCTAACCTATGCCCCAAAAGTCACCTGCTGTACTCTAATGTGAACCTATCCTGTACATGTGATCACAAAAATGAAGTGAAGTATATCAAGCCATGTGATATTCAAAGGTTAAAAAAGTTCTCAAAAAATACCAGTTCAGTTCACTATGACATCAAACAGTATGGACCCTTAGATAATCTCTCTTTGGTTTAGATATTTCAGAGAGTAAGCAGGGGGAGAGACAATTGAGTCACTTAAAAATCTTCTATTAAGCAGTCACTGTTTAGATAGATAGCACCATACAGAGTATTACTAGGATTAATTATCTTGGTTAACCCACACTTGGAAGTTGCAAAGTAAAATCTATTATTGAAGATCATGAAAACTTACATGATTTTTAAATACTTGGTACACAGATATACCTCCATATATATCGAAATTTTTTTCTGGTGGTTATATAGATACAAAAGTATCCAATGAAATTTCATTTTCTAAGGTTTCAAATAGAGAAAAATTACACTTTAAAAAAAGGCAATAAGGCTAGTTTGGGGCTCTCTGAGTATATTTTGAAAAATAAGTATTTCCAGCAAAAACCAACAACATAGATGTGTGATTAAGAAGACTTAAGTGCAGAGAACTCCCTGTATTTTTCATTTAAATTTTGAAAGTGTTTTTCAGGAAGACAGGATCGACAGGCTTCTTAAATTAACATTTTCTTTGCTTCCTCTTATCTCAGAGGAGCATTAATCATCTAAAATTGGCTATAATATGCACCGTGAAAGCTCCATACTTACTATACTTCTGAGTGCCTTATGAATGGCAGGATAAACAGCCTTTTAGAAGGCGTTCTTTTGCATACACCATAAAGGTTTAGAAAGTATTATTGCCAGTTTTGACTTGGTCATTCCTTGATTCATAGACTTATTTCATAGTTTTCATCTTTAGTATGCATAGTTTTATTAGTTGGCTAGTCATACAGTTTCGTATGCTTACTCTGAATATCAGTATTTATTTAACATGCTTTTAGCAAGTTTAGATGAACATTATAAATGTTGGCAGCTCGTTTCTTGATTAAATCTTAAACAGCTCAAAGAGGGAGGGTGTCTTTAGTTGTCTGAAAATTACAGGTAATCAGCTTGGGCTGTTCTCATCGTTGCTATGTGAATTCAATTCAGGGCTGTAATTAGTTTTAGCTACTCTCAATTAAAGCTTCAAAGTAAAGGGCCTTTCCTACAACACATTAAGATCTCCATATAGAGTAAATTTTACCTTTTCTTGAATGAGCAGCACACGATTTAGTAATTGTTTTTCAAATGAGGTGCTATCATTTCTAATATTAATTATGGTTATAATAGGCACATCTGTCTGAAGACTATTCTGCGAGACATCCCTTCAACTAGTTTTGCCTGGGTCTGTGTGTGGCTAAAGTGTCTGTTTTTCTGAATTAAGTGGTCAATTCAGTTAAAAACCCAACTATTTGACTAGATACATTTTCTCTTCAAATAAAAAGCTTTTGTTGATTTATCTAAATGTACTAGTGTTGGCTCTGCCAATACATATTTTAACCCTAGAAGTGATTAAGAAAACTCTCAAGATGATTTTGTAGGGTCATTTCTCTATACAGCAATCAGTCTTTTGTCCCCTCACTTGTTCATAAAAGAGAATCATGTATTAACATACCTTGGAGTTTAGGAAACAATCTCATTTTACCAAACACAAGAAGCCTGACATACAGTATAAATAACCAGCCCTTTTCTCTGTTTCTACACATCATAAAGTTTTTGCTGTCATAACGGAAGCTAGTTAATGTGAGCAAATAAAAACCAGAAACACACCTTTCTACATTTTTCAATTTCGTCATTAGAATGGTTCATGGGGGTTGGGGAGTTTGCCCTCAGACCACATTTATTACCACGATGTTTTTTTTTTTCCAAGACCATATCACTTTTCTGTTGGCTCTGGGCCCACGAAACCCTTCAACAGAGAAAACTACTTACCAATTCCGCCTCCTGTTGACTGAGGTCCTGTAGGTAGGGAATGGTTGCCAGCTCTGCCATTGCTTGATTAATCACCTGGGACTGTTCCTTTACTCTCTGCAGCTGGCTGAGGAGGCTGGCATATTGCAACTTCTCCACAACACCTGAGCATGCCGGAAAACGCCCCTAGTCTCAAAGTAAAAGAAAGGTTTTGGAACAAAACCACGGAAATAGACCTCTCCCCAGGGATGGAAGTCAGGGCTCCTGATCATGTATTCACATCTTTTGAAACAATGGAATCCAGTACCAATACATGTTTCCTTCTATCATTTGACAGAACTGTCTTATGCTCCTTTTTTCCCAGTCGTAAATACACACAAAAGGGAGCCCTTTTGAGATGGGCTTGCTGATTGTCTTGCATTAGGGAGCTAGGCTGAGGGGAAAAGAGGGGACTGAATTTGAATCTGTACTTCACTAACCCAGGGGTGATCCCACAGAGCTGTGTCTGCCTAGAAGGGGTGACTTTATCTACATCACCAAAGCACCATAAGAGCTAAGAGCTGTCTACTATCTTGTTTACCTGAAAGTAAAATTTCTAATGCAAGTTGAAACTTGACAAGCGTTGTGTAAGCCGAATTCTGTTTACCCCAATGGCTTCTATGAAAACTCTAGCTCTGCTTTTATGTCCATCTCTTAGGGGATGGCCTTGCACAGTCTCCTCTTCTTGTCGACTAGCTTCACCCTGTCTATTAGGACCATTTCAATAACTAACACATTCCATCTTGACCCAGACTACTGTGTGCTGTGCCTTTGTAAGGACTGCCAAGTCTCATGCATCTATTGGCATTTTGGGCTTTCTTAAGATGGGACACACTTAGAAAAAAGTGGCCCACCATCCACAAAAGAGGAGACATTACCTTCTATAAAACATTTAGGCCAGGCGCGGTAGCTCACGCCTGTAATCCCAGCACTTTGGGAGGCTCAGGTGGGTGGGGGGATGGATCATCTGAGGTCAGGAGCTCGAGACCAGCCTGGCCAACACAGTGAAACCCTGTCTTTACTAAAAATACAAAGTTGGCCGGGCATGGTGGCCCATGCCTGTAATCCCAGCTACTTGGGAGGCTGAGGCAGGAGAATCGCTTGAATCTGGGAGGCGGAGGTTACTGTGAGCTGAAATCACGCCACTGCACTCCAGTTTGGGTGGTAGAGCGAGACTCTGTCTCAAAAAAAAAAAAAGTTGAATATAAATTGTAATACTTGATAGGAGAGACAAAGTTAATCATAAAATTCTCAAGTTTATCTTTAAGAAAAAGTACTTTTGACATGGGGGTATGTAAGAGTTAACATAAAAGCCTTGAGCTGCTGCTGTATTTGGAGGGCATGAGAAATGGGAATTCAAAAGAGGACTTAGTGTGGCAATTGCATTTTATATCCTGGTGCTCAGAAGGGAAGGGAGGTGACCAAGTGCCCCTTTATGGCAGGGGTCCCCTGGACTGCCTACACCAGGATCACTATCCTTGCTTGTGGACTTGACAGTTAGCAAACTGAGTGATGGGCCTCACTCAGTCACGATCTTTGTTATGTAGCCCTAGAAACACACATTTCAGCTAGGTGCCTTGCCACATATTCAAATATCTCAAACAGAAGTTTGAGAACAAACCACCACCTTAAAGCTTAGTATCTGAGTAAAGATTGTTTTGTTTTGTGCCTACTTATGAAACAGAATTTCTTCCAGAAATTAGAGAAGGCAGATATGTAACGTCACTTTCTTAAGAGAATCTCCTCTAAGGAGAAAAATTGCTAGAAATGCATATGACTGAACTTCAACTTAAAATTAGAAAGCACTTCTTTTTGAAAGGCCATACTCATATTCTGATTGACAGCAACTTCTGGAAGGTGATATTTTTCTAGAATCTTGGAAATAAAGGTTAGGTACCATTGTGCTGGATCTGCTTTAATACCTATTTATGCTGTTCAACGAATGTCTTCGTACACTAATTTGTTCTTTCTGATGAATCATTTACCTGAAAATCTATGAACATATAAGATCGGTGATTGCAAGTGGTAGATTTGGGGTTCCTTCCTGAATTAATGGAAAGCTAGCCTACCCATTCAGTTTAAACGTGTAGCTAAAGAATAGCATTCTGTCAAATAAACGAAAGCAAGTTGGAGGAGAAGCAGTTTTCATTCTGAAGAAAACGTGCTTTCTTTGTCCTTTAAAATGAACAATGGGGCTAGTTGTAGGAAAGTGGTGTAGTGATTCAACCCTATAGAGCAGAGACAACTGCAGGCTGCTCAGGAACATAATCTATCAGTGTAATTTTCCAAAACATCAGGAAAATAAAAACAGTTCTTTGTTAGCCTGAATGTTGGATGCACGGCAAAACAGGAAGCGCTCTATTTGAATAAGATAAGAGGGAAAGAATAGTGGTGGCTGCTAATAGTCACCCGTCCTTCCGAAGCCAAATGCTTTGGTTATCAGAGCACTGTAGATTAATCTTTTACCTATCCAAGATAGGTGTTTTTGAAAGACAAAGTGAAAAAGAAATAGAACTGATATCTAATGCGGCAGAAATGTGTTCATACTGTTGCTTTAAGGAAATTAAGAAAATAATAAAAAAATAGGAATTAGCTTAAATATCTAACGCTAACAAAGACTAAATCTAAAGGCAGGTAGCCCTCCCAGTGAGGCTTCAGGAATGATCAAAGGTCTTCTTACCTGCTGGAGAGAGTGTAATAAAGTGGCCATGATTGAAGCTAAAACCTCACACAGGTACATGAGGGCAAGTTCAGTGAAGGCTTTGGTCAGAGAATTGTCAAGATTTAATAGCAGTTACAAATAAACATTTGGCAAATAAGTGGCACTATATAATACTGCTGAAAAGCAGAGTCCAAGTATTTGGGATGTATTTCCATTTGGCATAATATATAGAAACATTAATTGCAAAATAGAGGTAGGAAACACTTTCAAATGTGCATGTGTAAACATTTTTTATGCTTCACTTGGAAGAAGTTAAAAGTAAAATTAATGAGGTATTAAAAACATGGTTAGTTAGGTCATTTTTTGGCAAGTCATCCTGTGAAGGCGGCTTCATGCTTGGCAAGAGATTTGATGATTTTAACTCTTTAACATTTAGCCCAAGAAGCACAGGACATAAGGTTTGAAACTGACAGCAGCCAATAAAGTTAATGAATGGAAAAGCACAGTGCCATCCAGTAGCATGTGAAATAATTAGGACAAAAATCCAGAGAATGAAAAACACCACAACAGCAAGGCTGCTGGCTACATGGGGTTGATGTTCAGCAGGATTAGAAGTCACAGGCTGGGCGCGGTGGCTCACACCCGTATCCCAGCACTTTAGGAGGCTGAGGTGGGCGGATCATGAAGTCGGGAGTTTGCCACCAGCCTGACCAACATGGTGAAACCCTGTCTCTACTAAAAATACAAAAATTATCTGGGCATGGTGGCAGGTGCCTGTAATCCCAGCTACTCGGGAGGCTGAGGCAGGAGATTGCTTCAACCTGGGAGGCGAAGGTTGCAGTGAGATTGTGCCATTGCACTCTAGACTGGGTGACAGAGCAAGGTTCTGTCCCCCTCCCCCAAAAAAAGAAGTGACCAGGAAGGTGGATCATATTGAAGATTATGACTGTTAAAATGCTGGAATCGTCCTTGTTTGGCCGTGTGTTGTGTACCTAGGAGAGTATTTACAAAGATAAGGAAAGGAATGTCAGAAGTGTAAGGAGAATCATTGTCTGACACATGGAAACTCCGTGAGACCGGGAGAGGTCTTCACTAACTGTATCCATCACCTCGTAGCAAGAGTTGAAAATTCATGTTCTCTTGGAAGCTTTTTTTGTTTTTGAGTTGGAGTCTCGCTCTGTCGCTCAGGCTGGAGTGCTGCGGCACGATCTCGGCTCACTGCAACCTACGCCTCTCGGGTTCAAGTGATTCTCCTGCCTCAGCCTCCCAAGTAGCTGGGACCACAGGCGTGAACCGCCACATCTGGCTATTCTGTGTGTGTGTGTGTTTGTGTGTTGTAAATGGGTTTATAATGTCAGAAAAAATTGCACACTGAGACAGTAGATCACTCAGCAAGGCTAGTTTACTTCCTGCAGAAAGGGTGCAACTCGCCTGCAGTCTTGCCATGAGAGCACATCTGAACAAGGAGACAGGGACATTTATAACTTTCAAAACCTGATGCAATCGCCCTACTGCTGTGTCCAGTTTCCATTGGCCGGAACAGGACCTCACATTCTGTGCTTGACCCCATTGGCTGAAAACATGGAAATTTTCTGAATAGATAGGGGAAAGAAGACAAGGAAAAAGAGGAAGCTACTTAGGAGAAGGTCAGGAGGGTTTCCAAATAAGGAATGGCATGCACCAGGGTTTGCAGCTTGTCTAGTCCTGTTCATATAGGCCAGAGTGAGTCAAGGTAGCTGATTTAAGACATTGTTGATTTAGAGAATATATATACATGGGTATATGTTTATGCTAATAGCAGATAATGGCCATAGAGCAAGAGATTGTAACTCCTTATAATGTAGTCTAAGATACAAACTTTGAAGAAGAACTTTCCCATCTTTCATACTGTGTGTGTTTTTAAAATAGAGATGGAGTTTCACCGTGTTGGTCAGGCTGGTCTCGAACTCCCGACCTCAAGTGATCGGCCCACCTCAGCCTCCCAAAGTGCTGGGATTACAGGCGTGAGCCACTGCACCTGGCTTATATTGTTCATCTAAAAAAAATTGAATCCAGCTGTGGAATCATTCCTATGTTGTGTTATGCATGTTTTGCCTCTGACAAGGATCATACTTTTAAATCAAAGAGACGTAATATGATTTAGTAAAAGAATATTGGAACAATATTCTGAACCTCTGATTTTGAGCCCTGGTGGTTTAAGCTTGAATATATCACTACTGTGAGCCATAGTTTCCTCACTGGTAAAATGAAGGTGACACAATGTGACCAAATGGTGAGGGTCAAATTAGATAATGTGAGGGGAAATGCTTTTTAAATTGCAGAGCACTATGCATGTGCTTTTCCTAAGCCCTAGTTCCAAAGTGGAGATTTCTGCATGCAATCAGCACCTAATGACCAGGACTTCTCTGTATTTTAAAAAAGATATGTTTGAGTAAAGAAAACTTCTTAATTAGCTAGGCGTGGTGGCGCACGCCTGTAGTCCCAG